TTTCAACAGGAGGCATAAACCATACTAGCTCTAAGCACCTTGAGGATTGAAAAAGAGGAAAAGTTAGAGAAGTCTTCATACATTGCTAATTTGTACAAGCAAAGACCCGAGTTTTATCCAACCATCTCGGACTATGGTAGTAAATATTTTGAGGGAAAAAATTCGATGCTAAAAATAAAGTCAAATAGCCTAGGTTAGTGCTTGATAGTCTAGAAATAATGATGCTTCCTGTTGATATATTGAAGGATGTCTTTAATGTCGATCAACTTGTATATAAGACCATCCGGGAAAAGAAGTTGAATAACTAATCGATGAAGAAGTGCCTTTTGTTTTCAAGGCCAAGTAATTTTCTTATCGCATTTATCTATCATGCTTTCATATGATATTAATTTACAAGATTGTGGTAATTTTTTCTCAAATTACCACAATTGTCTTCTTTTCTCTATTGTATTTTATTCTCATTTTTGCCCAAACTTTAGGACATTCAATATGATCATATCTCAAAAACAAAAAATACTAAATGATTACACTAAAAAAAAGAAGAAGGCCAACATAACTATGATTATAATGTACATGAAAATGCATACGAGGAGAATACTCGAAGTCGTTCGAGAAGCATGAATGAGTTTTAATTTTATGAATGAGATCTTACCTTATATAGAATTTTTGGATTTCATTTGCAAAAGTGTTAAGATTTTCATGGATTGTATTGTTTCTTTGAAAAAGAAATTACCACATTTGCCTTTTTTCCTCTATTGTGTTTTATTCTCATTTTTGCCCTAATTTTGGAACATTCAATATAATTATATCTTAAAAACAAAAAAACACCAAATGATTACAATGAAAAAAGAGAGGGACGACATAATTTTGATTGTAATATGCATAAGAATGAATGCGAGGAGAATACCTAAAGCTCGTTAAAGAAGCATGAATAAGTCTTGATTTTGTGAATCAAATCTTACATTATATAGAATTTTTGGATTTCATTAGAAAAAGTGTGAAAATTTTCATGGATTAAGTCATTTCTTTAAAAAGAAATTCCTATTATCTTGGCTTGATTTTATTTATTATTGATTTAAAAAAGAGATGTCTATTTGAAAATATCATTGTCATTTTACATCATCTAGATCAAAATGAATAAAATGAAAAAATCATTCAAAATCTTTTAACATTAATCAATTTTTAAAACATGTCGTGTAAATGCTAAGGGGTAGTCCCTTTCTTTTTGAAAGCAAAAACATTCCTCTCCTATTCTTGAAAAATTCTTCTAAGACAAGTCATACCTAAGATAATACATTGATACAAAAAATAAAAAATGAAAAAATATTTAATGTCTTAAATGATGATGAGTGGAATGTCTTCTGTTCATGATCCCACCTTATCCATCACTACTTTTCTATAAGTCAATTATAGTTTTCAAATGAAACTAGAGCTTATCGACATCATATTTGAGATAAAGAAAAGCCACTTTTTGATACACCTTTTTACAATTAAAAAAACTTATCTCTTTTTTCCTAACTTCGAATCTAAAGGATTTCTTTTGACAATGACCTAGGTGAGGATCACCCCTCACACTAAGGGAAATTTTGAAGTTCACAAGTAATCAAAGATCTTCTCTAAAAAAAAAAAAACATGAGAAATAATGATAATGTTCATAACAAAATTATTGAGAAAACCCTTGAACGATTTTGCAAAAACAAAACGAGAGAGAGAGAAAAAAATGAAAAACAAAAGTAAAATCACTAAGCAAAAGATAGTACTATCTAGAGTAATCCCTCTCATGATCTAAAGTTAGAAATCCTTAAAACATAAAATGACAAGAGTGAACATGAAAAAGAGAGCTAAGATTAAAAGATGAGATTAATTAGCGAGATGAAAAAGTAATGACGAGCATGCCTAAATTGATCTCGATGAACAATGAAGTGATCCTAGGTCTTTTCACCTTCAAACACCTTTGAGCCTTTTATATCCTTTTATTCATAAGCAAAAAGCTTTAGCCTTCATTACATACCTATGAAAGCCCTTTTTGGTTAAAGATGACTTATTTGTATTCATGAGTTTTAACTTCAAACAAGAAGAAGAAAAAATTATTTTGGAATAAAACTTAACTTATCTATGCATTACAAACTATCATTTATGACATTGAATCATGAATTTTCATCAAGTAACTATGGGCAAGAAAGAAATGAATTAAGTCTTCCTAAGTAAGACCGCACATTTAAGCAAGTCTTTCTTCAAAAACTCTTACGGTTCCCGAAATTCATCCAAGCACATCTTGTTGTGGGACTAAAATTTTGTCAATCACCGATCGAAGAGATCAATCCTTTTCAAAACTTTTCTAATCTAAACACATTTTACTCATCATAGCCTCAAAACGAATCACCATGAGATTTGTATCTCGACATTGCATGATGTATCTTGGCTTTTAATCAAATGAGTCAAATATTTTTCTGAATGATATTACTTTTTTATAAACATATCAATGATTTTTCTAGAATAATTCAACTTGCCTTAATGAAAAATTTTCAAATAGACGATCCGATCCATGAAGTTATAAAAAATGAAAATGATTTTCTAAAAATTCAAAAAAAAAATCTCTTAAAGACAATTTCACATAATCAAATGCAAACATCAAAAGAATATGAACAACATGAACAATAACAATGAAGATAGATGACAAATGAATGATCACTACCAATACTTCGAAGCATGTTATGATCGGACTAGTCACAAAACTATGTCGGCATTAGAAGACCAAGCATTTTAGCTTCTCTCCTATCCAAAGTAGAGCAACAAGGAGATAATCTAATTTATGCCCAAATATTCATTAATACAATTATTTGACATTGCTTCTTTTATTCTTGATTCACCCAACATAATATGATTCATGATCTTTCATATCTTAAATAACCTTTATTTTTACAAGTATGATTAGTCCTTAAAAAGAAAAACTCTTTTCTTTGGTCTCCTACACGATCCTATAATTGACATCATTCATGAAATATGAAAATACATTGAATTGACATATGATAACTTGATAAGGATCTATTTAGACTTGGTTTACAAGAGTTACGCCTCCATAAAATTTGTTATAAGCTTCCTCTTGACAAATTATAAATAGTTAATAGAAGGCCATCTTAACCATTTTGGGCCAAACTCTTGATATGCGATTACTAAAGCTTGGACATTAAAAAGGATAGTACCAAGGAGGCACAAAAACAATAGGATCTAGGAGTGAGCACCACTAAATTGATACGGATAGTGGTCCAAGTACCCATCCTAGTGACTATAAAAATAGGGGACATAATCATAAGTATAAACGAGCAAGCTCGATAAAAGTAAGCTGGATTACAACTTTAAAGTTATTCAAGCTACACGACAAACAAATAAAGACAAAAAGGAAGAAACTTATGCTTTGACAATGACGAAATATGCTTTTCTAAAAACTTCATTTCAGTCTAAGTTAGAATGCTTAATCATATCTTGTCAAAAGAACATGATTTGTCATGTCTTGCCAAATTGATGTAGTCTGTCACATCCTTCTAAGTTGATTGGTCTATCATGTCCTACCAAATTGACATGGTCAACCACGTCTCTCCAAATCAACGTAGTCTATCATGTCTTACCAAATTGACATGGTCCGTCATGTCACTCTAAGTCATCATGCCCCACTAAGTTGACATGGTCCGTTATGTTCCTTCAAGTCGACATGGTGCATTACTTTCCTTTAAGTCGATATGGTCCGTCATGTCCTTCCAAAGTCGACGTGGTATGTCACATCTCTCTAATTCGGTGTGGTCTATTACATCCCTCTAAATAGATGTGGCCTATCACATCCGTCTAAGTAAACATGGTTTGTCACATTCTTTCAAGTCGATATGTCTATCATGTCTCTCCAAATCCACGTAGTCCGTCACGTCCTTCCAAGTCGACGCCGTCCGTCACGTCCCTCTAAATCAATATAATTTGTCATGTCTTAACAAATCAACTCGGTATGTCATATCTTTTCAAGTCAAAATGATCTATCATTCCTTGCTAAATCAACGTGATCCGTCACATCTTCTCGAGGTCGAATAGTCTATCATGCCTTACCAAATCAACGTGAGTCGTCACGTCTTTCTACGTCAAAATGGTCTATCATTCTTACCAAATTAATGTGGTCTATCATGTCTTTTTAGGTCGGAGAAGCTAGTCACATCTTGCTAAATAGATAGTCCGTCATGTTTTACCAAATAGACATGGTATGTTATGTCTTGCCAAATAAACATGGTTTGTTACATCTCGTAAGGTTAGAATGGTTTGTCATACCTTACCAAATCAACGTGGTCTATCATGTCCTATTAAATTAACATGGTTTGCCTTATCCTTTTAAATCAACATAGTCTCGTCTCATCCAATCAAGTCAATGCAGCGAGTCATGTTCTATTAAAATCGACACGACCGATTGCATTTTCAAAAATTTTCTTTTCCTATTTCTTTACAAGCTTACTATGTAAAGAAAAAGAAAAACATTTTTCAATAACTTTACATCGTAAGCATTATAAAGATAGAGCAATTGTTAACTCCTAATTTTTGCTCCAATTTTTTTTCTTTTTATTGTAAAAATACGAAAAAATGATAAAACAAAATAAAAAAATGCCAAATGTATAAAATAATAAAAAAATCAAAAAATCAAATCAATTGAAACAATTAGCTTAGATTAATTCTAGAAAAATGGCTAATTAAAAAATAGAAAATTAAAAAAAGGTAATTGAGGGACTAATTGAAAAAATTTAGAACTTTAATCTCTTATTTAAATTAAAGTGGTGAACAATTGGAATAAATTAAAAATAAAAGCCCAATCGAAACAAAAACTAAAATCAAACCTAAATTGATGGATTATGAAAAATGAGGGACCAAATTAAATTTTCTAAAAACCTAAAAATACCTATATTTAACTATTCATTCATCACCTTGACAAAGCAACCATCTTTCTCCCTATTGGAACTAAAAACCTCAACCTAAACCTCGTTTCTCCCAAGTTCCCTCTCCCACCTAACCTCATAAACTAACCTTACCTCAAGCACACCTTTTCTTCATCACCAACACACCTCTTTACTAGCCATCATAAGCCCTCTTTACAAGTACCTCACGACCCTCTCGCACACCTTTAGTTGCTCACCTCATAACAACGTGACAACCCTTGCAAGGCTTGCCTCATACCCTTATCGCAGCCTTCACAGCACTGTCTTACATGCTAGTGTGAGCACATCTTACCTCACCCCAGTCTTGTCTTGCGGCCCTCACGGCATTCCTTGCACACCTAGCATCAATAGCCCTTACACATTTAGCGCCAATAGCCCTTACACATTTAGCGCCAATAGCTCTCACAATAGCCCTTCCTTGCCTCACGCCGACCTTGCCTCACAAACCATCACAACCACCTATAATAGCCTTATAAGCCATTAAATCCACTCATAATAGCCCTCATAACCCTCATTGGTCAATTCGTAATCCTCCACACTTTAGTTGTATGCCTCTTAACCCCCACGGACCGGTCCGCAAACCTCCTCGCCTAGTTGTATGCCCAGCCTATAGCATAAATTTCTCTTCCTCATGTGATCAACCAAGCCGAGCATAGGCTTCCCACTCTCGTACACCCATACAACCATCAAGCCTCTAGCCTTTACGTACCCATATGATCGGCGGGTCTCTAGCTCGTGCATGCCCACATGCACTTACATACTAGCACGCCTTTAACTCCTCGTGTGTCCATATGCCTATAGGTCTTCGACTCTCCATGCATCCATAATAGCTCGCGAGCCGACCAATAGGTCAATTGCCAAGCCGGCCGTAGGTTAATAATAGCAAGCCACCTAAGGCCTAATGGCCCCTCACCGATTACAAAAAAAAAAAAAAAATCTATTGGATTGTGTTTGGAGCAACAACATGATTTTGCTACAAAAGACACAACAACAACTTTGTTTCCAAGCCTCCAAGTTATAGGGATTTTGAAAATTTACGAGTAACTTTGACAATAATAACAACCTTGGTAACTTACACTAGCATCGAAGAGACTTTCGATCGCTTTGGTGGGACCCATATAATGCCTTGAAAATGGGCAATTGCTCTCTTTATCTAGCTAACTAAATAATTAGTTATCATCGGAGATGAAGAGTGCAAAACTAACCCTCAAATTAGACACACTGAACTACGGAACACTTAGAGTAAAAACTTTAAAAATGACTACGAGTTCTTTAAAATATGAATAAAAAATAACTACACTTCTTTAAAATATGAAGAAAATTATGAATGACATTTAAATATTCATAGTTTAAATATGGTTGAAGCAAATGTTACCTGTAATGGCCATTATGGACAAACTATCTTATTTTACATCTGCATACTTAATGTGAAATTTGTGCCTATTTTTGTGATTTGATTGACTTGTCGTGCTCGATTGCAATGCTATAACAAAGCTGTCGGTGACTTTCCATTTATGTGACGAAGCTATCAATGGTTTTAGAATAATTCACATGTTTTTTGCTTGCTCCAAATGAAGCTATCGGCTTTCCATTTATGTGGATGGAGTCATCAATGGCTCTTAAATTAGTTTTTATCTAATGCATGAATTGCCAAAATGAAACATTCAATGGCTTCCCATTTATGTGATGAAGCCATCGGTAATTTTAAAATTATTTTATTCATTACATGTTTGTCTAAAACGAAGTCATCAATGGCTTTTCACTTATGGGATAAAGTCGTTAGTGGCTTCCAAACCATTTATATGCTCTTTGCTAGAGTGAAATAAAGTCATCGGTGGCTTCTCTTTTATGTGATGAAGTTATTGGTAACATCTTAAATCCATGACTTGAAGTCCTCGGTGGCTTTTCTTTTATGTGAGTGAAGTTATTAGTGACTAGCTTTTCATGTTAATAAAAGGCTATCGATCTTTAGAAACTTGCCTATTTGCCAATATAGGTCGTGTTCACTAAAAATTAGCCAAATTTCTAATTTCTCCTATCTTTAACCTCCGAGTATGGGTATCGGCTTCAAATCGGCCTAAACCTCTAAATTACTCGATTCCATCGTGCCAAAATAAATTTGTTCAAGTAGGCATAGAAACATAATATCAAAAAACTAGATTTTTATTTTCACATGCAAACAATACAACCTACCTTAAGTAGGACGGGATGATAGTGATGTTATATCTTTTTCATATGTAACCAATCCCTTATCTAGATACCTATGCGGACTAGTATGTTTAGGGTTTCCTAGTTCTCTCCGATTAGGTACGTGGCGACTCCTTGTCACGCTCCTCATAGGATCGACGTCGATAATTAGGAAATCTAAATATTGGATACAATAATTCTAAAAGTTGTCTCCAATAAATTTTTATTTTTTACATTTATAATTATACCCTTTGTGTCCTTGATTTTTAGTTATCTCCAATAGATCCTTCAAACATAACGTACCATTCAAAATTTGTATGAATTAATTTTTATGTTATCTATCAATTTATATTTTAAAACCGGACGTTTCTCTTAATAATACCTTAGAAATACAAAACATATACGCAATTCCTTCTTTCTTTCTTTTTATTTTATTTTTTATTTTTACATTAATGAAAAAATTAAGAATATAATTTATAAAATTACACAAGTATATACTTATGAGAAACAATCTTTAAAATATAAAGACTTGAGCTACTTACAATATTTAGAGTAAAGGACGTTTTTGAATATCAAAATATATCATGTGTAAGCCACATATTCATATCCTCTGTCGTAAAAGATCTTAAGTTCTCTTCTTTATAAAAATAAAAGAATAAATATACGCATAATATATGCACGGTTGCATACTCACATAGTTATAAAAAAAGGTTTCCTAATATTTTTATTTTCATACTCCATCTACTTTTCTATTTTTCATACCTCAAAATCAAGATTTATACATCAACTTCTTCCCTAAATGAATAAGAAAAGATTTATACATCTCCATCAAGGGTTACGCATTTAAAATAAACCTCACATTTGGTCCCTATACTATTTGATTTTTTTAAAATTAAGATCTTCAATTTTTTTTAATTGAGATCTTCTATTTTTTTTAACTTAATTGAAACCCTATACTCTTTGAATTTTATTGATTCAAACTCTAAATTAACTATTCATTTGACGTGGCATTTTACCATTAATAGCAATCAATTACTAATTGACACGTGTTGTTATAGTTCCCAAATAACAATGTTGAAATAAAAAATAAAAATTATTAAAACATACAAATTTTCTCCCAACCCCATTATTCAAAAATATTAGAAAACACATTCTCTCTCTCTTTCTTTCTCTCTCTTCATTATCATTCTATGTTTTTTTTTCTTGATTATCTTTCATCTGGATTTAAACAAGAAAATTAAGAGCTACAATCATATATCACCATCTAGCCAGATCGGACAAAATAAACAAGAACAAAAAATTATGAAAATATCCACACAAGCATCACCGAAACAATATGTCGGAACGTTTGGCTTCTCTTTTGCTCATCGTCTATTTTAGCCATGACAAGAGAGGAAGAAGGTAGCTATCGATCAAAACACTACGATAAGTTGTTTTCTCGTCATTAGGTTGTTCAATTTGCTCTAAAATAGGTGATAGGGATCGATCTTCAAAAATAGGTCGAAATCAATTTCTCGTTCGATTTGATCGATTCCAATGAGCTTTCATCGGCATTTTAAAAGGAATTAACTATTCAAAGAACAAGGAACATTTTTCAAATGGAATACTTTGTCGAGCTTGTCTTCAAGTCGAGTTTTGTGGACGAATTTGGTGGTTTTTTGCCATTTTCTTCCACTATTCCAAACAAAGGAAGGTCTTGGGTTGGTGGCACTTCGATTTGTGGTGGTTTTGGGTCTTGGCTAGAAGGTAGTGTTTTTTTGGTTGTTGATTAGAGAGTGTTGTTTTTTGGGCCTATTGCTTGTTGATGATGATGATTGTGTGTGTGTGTGGAGGGAGGGTGGGTTGTTAGGTCTTTTCACCTTTTTTATTAATTTATTTTTAAATTTTGTTTTATTATTTTTTTTTAATTCAAATGAAAATTTTGTATTTTAAGACCCACTTCGCTACATGTCATTTAGTGATTGGTTACCGTTAATGATAACGTGCCACATTGGATGAATAGTTGACGGCATTATAACGAAAGGTCCGAATCAATAAATTTCAAAGAATAAAGAGTTTCAATAAAACCAATAAAAGATAAAGGATCTTAATAAAAACAAATCGAATAATATAGAGACCAAATGTAGGATAAACCCATTCAAATTGAAATTTTCAAGTTCAATTCCACAAAAAGGAAATGAAGTAAAAGAAGATGCATGTGAGAACACATAACCATATAGCTCAAATAGCAAGTTAATCTTTGAAATAAAAGGACATATGCTGCTAAGTTTGATAGAATCATAAAGCAAAGTAATTAATGAAAGTGAAAAGCGAGAACCATTTTCTGGCTCATCACATTTTTAGTACATTCAATTGCAGAATGCAGCTTTGGTATCAAGAATTTTCAATAATATGTACTTAATAAAGCAATGATTCCAAGTCACTCCAAGTAGTTGTTAAGATACAGAGTGTGTGGAACCCATTTGTGTAGGCCAATAAGGTGGAACTTTCTTTTGCCCCGTACATATTCATCTATCCTTTTGTGCACTCTCGTATAATCCATGCTCGTGTTGCTTCTTGGTCCTTTTCTGGCTACAAATCCTGCAACTGATCTCAAATCTTGATGTTAGAATTGCTATATCTCCCACTCTATATTAAGCTCCGATGCAACATCTTCATTCTTTTCCTATTTTTGGTTTGGTTAGGTCATAGTATTTTTATCTTACAATGTCGCTGATAAGTGGATTACTCTTCCTTAGCCATTTGTAGGGTCCAGGAGAAAATCAAGCAGTTAGAGAGAGAAACAAAACATAAACAAAGCAACTTTCAATGAGCAAAATATTGCAGGCCATTGCTCTTTAAAGTAACAGTGCTTTTACAAGGGGAATGACATTCTTTTTGGGCCACAAGAGAGCTCCATGACAACCTTCACGAATAGGTTCTCCATGACAACCCCATCAAAAGAACAAAAAAGGCAATATAAAATTCCACGTATGAGTCATTCCCTCCCCAAAAAGCAGCTAAACAACAAAAAGAAATCTCACAAGGCTAAGCACCATGCCACCATCTAACGTTACACATTCTCTCATTCAAACATTATCTACCATGTTACCATTACCATTCACTAACAACCCTTTACTCTCTTCTTCATCTCCTTCATGTTCTTTGTGACCAACACCATTGCATGCACTCATTTCCATGCTACTCAGCTCCTTGGCTTTCAAAGCCTCATGTTCCCAATCTGTACGGATCAATACAACATAGAGAATAGACAATGCACAAGCCACTTGGGCTGACAAGAGCCCAAACCACAGCCCAGAAAACCCAATATTTAGACCAAAGGCCAAGCCCACTGCTACTGGGGTGCCCACAAAGTAAAATGAGCCCAAATTTATGCGAGCCCCGACCGCGGGCCGTGCCGTGGCACGTAGGATGCCACAGCCAGTTGTTTGAGGGCAGTTACCAAGCTCACAGAGCCCTATTATTGGCAAAACAGCAGCCACAAGACCTTTAACAAGAACATCTTTAGTGAACAAACCAGCCCATCGCTCTCTAAGGAATACCGTCCATGTCACATTGAGAATACCAATCACAAAGGCACAGCCCAATGCCACCATGGCTGCTAACTTGGCTTTGTAAGGCTTTCCAGCTCCAAGCTCATTCCCTACCTGCAGTGTATATATCCCAATAAATGCATGTAGATATCTGTGAGCTTTAACCCAAGACAAAAGAAACAAAAAAAAAGGGGGCTATTGGAGAGAAAGAGGGCACTTGGTTCACTTATGTTGGTTATGCAATATCGTCACACGCCAATGGGATTTGAGCTTTGAAAGAAAGCAAACAAAAGCTTACTTGTCATGTACCAAATTTGTCTAATCACAATAATGTGTTATCTGAGATGGGCCCTCTAAAATGATGCAATCACCTAACAAATCAATAGCATGCTGAGAAGCATAATTATACTTGTTCATTAATTTGTTTGATACCGATCTTCACTTGTTTTTCCTCATGCCGAAAAGAAAATCGATCCTTACCAACCAATCCATATTCTACAATTATCACATATCACTATTCACATAGCAAACTTGATACCAAAGTAACCTATGATGTCTATGAAGTAGCAGTAGCGCATGCTTTTTAAGGAAAATGGGTTAAATGGTCAACACAGCAAAGCCAATGCAGTTCCCATTTTGTGGATTTTCCCATATCCTAGCTAGGTCAGAATTCTGCTTCAATATGCAACAATCATTCTCTCTTAGGTTTAAGGGAAAAAAGAAGGGGGGTGGGGGGTGGTGGCATATTTGACTTCCTGAAGGGTAACATCACAGCAAAATTAACACAATTACAGACTGAATATAGATCAAGAATCTATATTATAGTGACCCATGAAACATATACGCACATACATATGTAACAATACTAGATTATTGTTATGTAAAGTGGAAGAAAGTTGTTGGGACTTACCCGAGCAGAGACACAGCCAGCAAGTGCCATGGGGACAGTGTACATCATGCTAGTGGTCTGGATGAGAATCCCAGTGGCAGCCACTGCCAATGTGGGATTAGGCAAGTACCCTGCCAATACAGTCACTATCTCGTACCACCACCACTCCAAGCAAATCCCTAAACAACTAGGTATTGCCAACTTCAAAAGTGGTCCCACCCCACCACACACCCCTCCAATCTCAACCTTCCATTTCATCTCCCACCGTCCACTAACCCACCATACATAACCCACCATCAACCCCACCATGTTCATGTTAGTCACAACTGATGCCAAAGCCACCCCAGGGACCCCCCACCCCATCACAACAACAAGAACATAGTTCAATGGCACGTGGAAAATAACAGCCAACAAGGAGCAGTACATCATGGGCTTTGTCACCCCCTGTGACCTTAAGAAAACTCTCAAGGGCTGTAATAGAGTGTTGGTTAAAAGGTCCGGGAGAGAGTAAATACAGTAAGTTGCAGCCATTGCAGTAATATTTGGATCTTGGCCCATAAAATTCATGATTGATTCAAGATTAAGCCACAAAAGACTTATGGGTATGATTGCAATACCAAGTATCAAGATCATGCGTTGAAGAGAGACTGAAAGGAGGTCCCAATTCCTGCTGCCATAAGCTTGGCTACAGACTGGCTCTAGCCCAGAAGCTAAGCCCACAAGGACAGAGTAACCAGTGATGTTTGTAAACCCAATGGAAAGTGCACCACCAGCTAGTTCTAGACTGCCTAGCCTGCCCAAGAACATAACTGAGACCACTGCTCTAAAAAAGGCCATTAAGTGAGCAGCTGTTATTGGCAAAGCCATACCCCATAACTCTTTTAGCTCTTCAACAACCTGTTAAACCCAAGAAAAACATTTATGTCAATATCAGACAAGAACATGTAGTAAAGTGAACAGAGAGAGAGAGAGAGAGAGAGAAAGAGAGTTGGCAAGAAAGTATTTTGTGGGTTACCTGAGAAGCAGAGGGAAGTTTGTGAGAATAGAAATCTGGGTCTTTCTCTGCCATTGTTGTTGTTTCTAAAATAGCATGTAAACTAGAAACAAAAAAAGAACACAAAGTTTGCTTCCTTTGATCAACTTTCAAGACTATTTATCGAGAAAGTAGGCTCAAATGGTATGAAATAAGCACAAGATTTCTTTAAAAAGTAGAATGGAATGTCAAAACAAGTTTTTACTTTTGTGATTGATTAGAACTAGAAGTAAAGGAGAAATCAAAGCTTGTAAACAATCCCCACTTAACTCTGTACTGTCCTATTGGAAGAAGAAAGTATAAAGACTGAGAGCATGAATTAGAAGAGGAAAACAGGCATTAAATAGGAGAGTAGTAACAGAAATATGGTTGACAGGCATATATACCTGTGTGTATTCAAGAGTCAATGAAGAAAGCAAGTACAAAAGTAAGCTTTGGTTTGCTTTATAATATTGAAACAATATTTTCTTGGTGAGTATTGCGTATAGGGGTCTTATTTATTACATAGAACGACAATAAAAGAGTAGGAGCTACTAATGGCGGCGAGAATCAGCAGAGAGTAAAAGAGAAGAAATGGAAAGGAAAGGAAAGTAAAGGTCAGTATCATACAGAGACAGAGAGAAAGAGAGAGAGAGAGAGAGAGGCAGAGGAGAGGGTGGGTTTAAAGATTTTATTGCTGCAGAAAAAGAAAGTCTTTGGGATTAAAGTGAGAAAGGAGAAGGGAGAGAGAGGGAAAGTAAACAAGGTCGGTTTTGGGCAGCTTTCAAGGGCTTAATTAAACATTTTAATTTTACCCTTTTTCGAATTAATTTTCACTGGACTTTTTCATTTATTATTACTAAATTATTATGTTGAGAATCACTCAATATTTTTTATTTACTTCGTTGAAAATTCAGGATTTGGCCTAGTTGAAGAAAAGATATGGTTCCCATATAATTGGTGTTGGTTCGATTTCAGGGCAACCAAGAATGATGTATTTATTATTAATTTGTTTATTTTTGATAGACGACTTGTTTTTTACCGAATCATATCATATAAATTTAATTTGGATTTATTTGATCATAGAAAAAATATAAAAAGAAAAACATTTATTTGCCTTTCTATAACAAATAAATCCTTACGAAAACTAAGTATTCTTTCAAGAAAGAAAGGAATATTTTATTCAATTTAAATAAATAGCATTGTTGTAAAAAAAAATTCAAATTGAATGAAATTATTTTATCATACTCATTGTCGTGGAATTACTAGACTAACTAGTAGATCAACTTCAAAGGTAAGCAAATCCTATGAATATTTTAGTCAACATAATAATTAATTGTGTACTAAAGAGACTTCTAGTTGTAATCGGAATGATTTAATATCCATATCATGTAATATTGAATTACAGATGTGATTTTTACACAATTATGGAAATCTATTAATTATGTTGGTCGAATTTTCCCAGCTTATGAATTGTTTTTTATTTATTTAATGATACGGATCAGATTAAATCTTATAAATTTAGATCGTGTTTTGAAAATGTGAATCCAAATCCTAACTTATTCGAATTGGATTCGAAGCTTTATCAGATTTATTATTTATTTTTTGTAAAAAAATTTATATATACTATATTTAATATATTTTTTAAATATAAAATATATTTCAATCACTACATGTATAATAAAATATATTAAGAAAATATTTTATCTATCAATTTCATAAAAAAAAAAAATCAAAATAGCATACAATTCAAAAGCAAAAATTCAAATAGTCTTAATAAAAGTTTGTTTTAAACTAGGTAGGAAGTACAACAAAACTAAAATAAAAAAATAATAAATATTTTTTTGCAAAAAAAGAAAAAAAATAAAATCTATTAATATTATCATATATTTTTAATAATTGGCTAATGCATAAAGAATACAAATGTAATGAGTTAGGTAAATGAAACCATAGGTTTTTATGTTTCAATTCGAAAGCCAATCACTTGTAGTAATTATTGCTTTTATAATCTCTAGAAGTAAAGATGTATGATATACATCAATAGCTCTACCTCTTGTATTGAATTTTCTCTAGGATGCGAGTCGATATGAGTCAAGTTTAAAACATATAAATTATAACCTTATCTCTTACCTTTAATTTACTCTAAGAATAGCATAAATTAGACATATGTATGTGAAATTATGTAAAAAACAAATACTTGAGTATGTCTAAATCAAGAAATTTCCTTTTTTCGAATTTATTTACGGAGTTTTTGGAACAAATGAAGGGCGAAATTCATTTCATTTATAAATGAAATGAACGAGAATTTGTATTTGCAAATGAATTCCCTTGTTTATAAAAAAAAAAATTATTAGCCAAATCATTAATTTGAAAATACATTTTATGTTTGGAAAACATGTAGATTTAGAATTGTAGTTTATATTTTACTTAAATACCCTCTAGTTGGTTGAAAGGTAATTGTGATATAATATAAAGACAAAGGTAATATTTTCACAAATAATACAAGGATCTCATGCTCATATAACTCGAATATATCCCCTACATAAATATAATATCACAATGGTCGTCTATATCATATTATACATCCAAAAATTGTACCATTATATTCACACAAATATTTTACAGACCTATGCAAGCAAAATATTTCAAAATATAACAAACATCCAACATTAGGGATTCAAGTTTAATCATCCATACTACTAATTATAAAAAACGAGACCATCATACTTTAAATCTATACTAATCCTAATTATAACAAACAACCCTCACTTTAATCATCCATACTAATTCTCATCTTCCTTCTAAGCCATTATAGCTTGATTTCATCATCACATGCAAAGAACATATTCACTAATGAATGATCATTCTCGTTAGGAAGTCAAGTGCATCAATCACTTCCCATTTATCCAAATCCAATTTTTTTAGCTCACATGCAATTTTAACGAGTGAGTAAACGTGATGACTTGTAGTCTTAATAGCATTGATGATTTCTTTCATTGAACAAGTAACTTCAACAATCTCATCGGCAATGTTACCACTCATGGGTTTTTTTCCTTTGGAAGTAGCCTTTGATTGGCTTGGAGTGGATGAAACGTTATCATGACCAATTGGTGAATCTTGAGCAATAGGTGAATGCTCCAATGGTGAGTGATGATAAGTGGTAGCAAAAGGATTGAATTGTTCAATATAGACCTCATTAGTTGCTTGCATGTTATCTATGTCATCAATATTAATTTCTTGTGGTTGTGGGAGACCTTGTTGCTCTTATTGGCACCTTTTCATTTTCTCTTTGGCACTCTCCGTACCACCTCCATGTGCTTGATCTTTCTCGAATAATTCATGAGCATCCTCAAGAAATAAAATTCCTTGTCACGTACCAACTTATAATCCGACTTCACCTACAAAAGAAGTAACCATATCAAGTATTTTATCCATCCACAAAAATCATTTCCAACTCACCCTATTGTTATTATGAACTTACCTGTATAACACATTCCCACACACTTGGAGTAGCATCAAGCTTTTTTGTTACGTTATTCCATCCAAATCCACTTTTATCCAATATTTCAACCGATAGGGCCATAAGTTTTTGGATAGTCTTCAATCTATTAATCGTGTTTGCCTTGTTAACTTTTATGCCGATCTTTTTAAACTCCAAGTTAAGATTATCGACAACCACCTTTCAAGATTCTTTGGTAAATTACTTCTCATCTTTGTTACCTTTGGCTTTTTCATTTTTCAAACAATCAAGAAGAAGTTAATCCATTTCTCTTAGCCACCTAAGATACTTATCCATCGCTTCGACACCACTAACAATCTCAACATCATTTCCACTTGGTGTAGCCACCTACTCTTAACAAATATATGCCATATAACAATAAATTTAAAACAATTTAGTTTATTAAAAATAAATTAAAATAAAATTAGCAACTTTTTCATCACATAATACATTTCAAGAATAAATGAAGAGCAATTTAGTTCAACACAAATTTGTCCATCACATAATACATTTCAAGAATAAATGACATGACCTAGGCATTATATATATAATCACTCCACATATGGCCAACTATGCCATCTCTTAATTGCTCTCCTTCTCTAACATCTACCACTTTCGATAATAGATGATTATCATCTATTGTAGATGAATTTTGCATTAACTCATTATCTACCTCCCGTAATATATCTTCATCGAGGTCATACATAAGGAGAAAATTATGTTAAATGCAACAAGCAATCATAATTTCGAAATGGTATCAACATCATAATTTGGCTCGTTCCACTAGCTATAGTTGGAAATCTTTTTTCAACACTCCAAAGGCCCTTTCAATTGCATTGCGCAATGATGCATGTCGAAGATTGAACAATTCTTTTGTGGTCTCAAGTGGAGAACGAGAGTACTCTTTCAAATGGTATCACGTACCTCGATATAGAGTGATGTATCCGATCTCAAAGGATACCCGGTATTAGCTAGGTAAAATTTACCTACGATGTATAAACACAATTCATATGTGATTAGTCACTTAATTTAATATTATTCATATTTATTGAACTAATTATATGGGGATATTGATGTAATTACCTTATGGAACTCTCAACTTATCATCCCTATTCATAGCATTTTCTAGAATTCTTGAGTCTAATGTTGATCCTTCCCAACCGGGTAACACATAAGTAAATTTGAGGTCAAAATCACATGCTGCTAATATATTCATTATGGGTATTCCTTTTCTACCTCTATATCTTGGTGTGATCGCTTTTGAAACTTTGACATGAATTTGTGTCTCATCAATAGCACCAACACAATTCTAAAAATTTGGAAGGAATAATTAGCACTTTTAAGAATAAATAACACCAAGTAACAAATTGTGATTTTATAAGCCTAAGTTTGTAATACTACCTTAAAATAAGGATATAACCTTCCTTCACTATTCAATATTTGTGGAGGTATTGTGGATCCATCGGGTTGTACCAAAAACACATCTTCAAATGAAATGATTGATCTAAGCACTTGGTGGAAATGAGGACTTATTGTCTAACCAGATCCAACACCAAAA